TCTGTGCTTTCAAGAGGGGAACTCCCCAGCCTGTATGTATGCTGTGGATTCCTTCTCCCAAGGTGCAGCACCCTGCATTTATCTACATTGAACCCCATCCTATTCTCATCTGCCCACTTTTGTAGTCTGTCTAAATCTAGTTGCAGCTTCTCTCTCCCTACAACTGTGTCTACCTCGCCCCACATCTTAGTGTCATCAGCAAACTTGGACAGTGTGCTTTCCACCCCCTCGTCTAAGTCGCTGATGAAGATGTTAAACAGCGCGGGCCCGAGGATCGAGTCCTGGGGTACCCCACTGCTCACATCTCGCCAGGTTGAGTATAACCCGTCCACCACTACTCTCTGGGTGCGCCCCGTCAGCCAATTTTTTACCCATCCAACTGTGCAGGCATCAATGCCGCAGTCGCTTAATTTATTGATGAGGATGGGGAGAGGCAAGGCCCTGAATGTTAGATAACTGCTTGTCCAAAAGAAAACAGCAGCTCCATGCACTGCAAAGTCCAGTCTCCTCAGCTCAGCAGAAAGCTGAGAAGTAAGGAACTAATAAGATAGCTCCCATGTGGTAAAGAGAGGCTGAGAGGAGAACAATAGTAGAGCACGTAGGAGTGAGTGCAGGTTGAAAAGAAAACACTAACTAGAGTGAGAAAGGTCATACTTGTCCCCCTACCAAAAGTACATGGGCTATTGAACTTATGACTGTAGGAAAGACATCCCCCGTCCATGTAGTGACAACAGCTTTGATTACATTTTCTGTGAAAAGTTTAAGGTGATGAGCTGAAGAGCTCCTTGTGGTTCAGGGAGTTGTGGCCCACTGCATGGACTACCCAAGCCCCGAGTCCAGATGGGCAAGCCAAAGTAGTGCTACATGTCAGCTGATCCCTGGAGTATGCTGAAGGCCATCCATAAACTCCTACTTCCTTCTCCAAGCAGTAGCCAGGGGGAAAGTCAGGCAGGACATATCAAAGGCTTGCTGACTCTTGGTTAATATAGTCACTGCTTTTCTACAAGTGCAGCCTATTTATGGTTGAAATATAATCATTCCCCAAAGCCCAAGATACCACATTGCCTTTAGCATAGACTCCTCTGTATTGCTATTGAATTCTGCTTTGAATAATGAGCTTGTTGCAGCTCTGACCATTGAGCAAATCCACATGGAGGTGATGCCTTCCAGCTCCAATCCAAGATTACCACAGCCCTTTCCAGAATGTGCTTGGCAGCTGGACTGCTCCACCCTGTGAGCACATTTCTTGTCCCTAAAATAATTTAAGCTCCACTTTCGTTTCCTCACTCATATCCCATGTTAGGAAAAAAAGCTTCTCACTGGGGCCTTTCCCTTTGACTCACTGAAGTCGTCCAGGAAAGCACAAAACAAGCTAAGACATAAGCCTAATAACTTATAGACTCGCAAAACAAAGAACAAGAGAGAAATCAAAATCAACTTAAATATTTATCATTCCATTTGCGTGATGGGAAAGATCGAGTTCTTCCCTGCGGCTTGTTGAAAAAAAATGGGACAATGGGCCTCTGTGGATACATGGGTGTGTAGACATGATAGTGAAGTAACTGCACAGGAAGGACAGAAAGCAGCATCTTTAGAGCCCTCTGATGGTGCTACCCTGCAACCAGGAGGGCACTTTTACAGTCTAGCATGAACCCCCCATCCAGTAGGTGCTCTGGTCCTGCACACCCTGGCTGGGTCAAGTCCGTGCCACAGAGGTTGTTGCCAGAAGCTCAGAACACAGCAAGTGAACCTCACCCATCATATATGCTACTCATTTACTGTCACCGTACCTGTGGTAGCAGCCTCTTACTGAAAGTCACAATGCAGAGTGAAGTCCTACACAAGAGAGAATAAACCATCCCTGGGTCCCAGGTTGCTTTGGAAGAGCACAACCTCCTCCATTCTTTTAAGGGAACTTTTTCAGCACAATGGGCCCTACCAGTGCTGTATAAAACACCCAAATACCAGGAAAATATTGGTACATAAAAGATCAAAGTTCTAACCTGAGCATGATGAACAAGTGAGGCTAAGGAAACCAATATGCCTTATAGTCAGCAACCTAGAAGGGGGCAACATGCCTAGCAGAACACCCTGCTGCCTTTGATTTCCCCAGCTAGAGTAATAAGGTATCCAATTGCAGCTCGGTTTACAGGGGTGCTCTTCAGCTTGGGCCTGCTAGGGAGTAACCTAGCTTGTAACCTGCTAGGGAGGAAAAATCATATTCCTGTGTTCTCAGTGAGACACTTAACTACACTCCCTTGGTGCCCCTGCAGAAGGCACAGACATGACAAGACACTTTACAACAAGTAGCATAACCTTTCAGCAGAAGGTTTCTTCCAGTTTCCCTTCTGGCAACTACATCCAACCTGTACCTCCAGTTTAGGATACAGGCTTTAAAGTGACCCCTGAGAGTTGCATACAAAAATTTAAAAAAGACACATGCTAATGGAAGACTCCTACTATAGGAAACATATGCTGGAGATATTCTGAGTATTCTTAACTGGGGAAAAAGACCCGAATGAGCATTGTTTGACAGCACACTGTCCGTGGGAATGTGTTGCATAGTTCATAATAAGGGTGCCTGTATGGTAGGAAGCACATGGCTAGAACACGGTAAGAAAGCCCATGCAACATGTATATGTTTGTAGTGTGCGACAGAAAGAGCTGACATTTCTCCATCCTTTATTAGCATGTTCAGGGTTCTACAGAGTTCAAGAATCAAGGATTGTACAATAAACAGCTCTTCCCATTTTATATCATTACAAAAGAAAATGGACACAGTAGACCCCAATTTCATATAGTTTCTAACCCTCCTACACAGTAGCTTGATCATGGTCCGATATTCCCTTTTCAGGCTGGAACATATTAAAGAAATGTATATTCTTCCTACTCAACTTTAAAAACAAGATTTGCTATATCACTACAAAAAAAATATTCAATTAAACAGAGCTGCACCAACTGTAAGTGGTATATGCCATTATACTGCTGCATTTTCAAATGAAAGTCTTTTTCCAATAGGGATCGTTTTCCTCCCTCCATTGCAGAGGGGAGAAACAGAGTATTCACTGCTAGAATTTAGAGCCAGGGAGAAAACCTGAGGCCTGTGGAGACACAGGTAGGCCATGTTTAGATATAGTCTGTGTTCTGCAGCCCCATCTAGTGGCTTCAAGTTCACTTCAGTATCAAAAGCTTCACTACCTATAGGTTACATTCATAAATAGTGCAGGCTTCCATTACACCCTCAAAATAAACTTGAAAAGTAGTATTCCCAATGTTTGGAAATTTGTCATTGGTCTTTCCCAAAGAAAATTCCCATTGATTTCAACAGGATTTTATTTTCACACAAGAAAATTTGGACTCTCAAAATGCTTGAAACACATCTCACATATAGGCTGACCTGCCACTGAATACAAACACTCTGAGCACATCAAACCAACAAGGAGTCTTCTACCACTGGAAACTCTACTGGTTCAGTGACAAGGTAGACAACAGTACTGGGCCACTGAGCCCAGTCCCCCATGTTCTCAGGCAACCATTTACCAAGAAATCCCTAAAATTGCTGCTCTGTACCCTCACACACAGCTGAGAAGCATAAAAACCAGAAGTGCCAACAATAACCTAGAACATCATTAAAAAAAAAAAAAACACAAAGGAGAGGAGGGTTCACCAGTGCCCTGCCACTGCAATGAGTTGTAAATATGCAAGTAGTCCAGCAATCATCCCAGTGCAGCTCATCTGTTAATTATCCCAAGATCAGGTTTTCAAGATGCCACTTACCTGCACAAGTAGCAAAGTGCACACCTCTGATCTCAGGACAACAGCTTCCACCAGCCTCTACTTCCTTGCAGTAACTTTGACACTTTCAAGTTGCTTGCAGAGAACATCCCAGAAGAGCCCAGTTTTAGAGTGCTCCAGCAAGTGGCCTGAGGTCACGTTGCAGGAACACCTGGAAAAAAGAGAGTCAGTCCCAGCTTCATTCTAATTTGAAATTCCCTGGTTAGTGACATAGGCAGACAAGGTTCCTTGTGTGAATTTGATATCTTTTATTAGACCAACCCAAATGGTTGGAGAGTAGTTATTAAGCAAGCTTTCGGGTTCAAAAACCCTTCATCAGGCTAAGGAAGCTTCAGCAGTTGGTGTGTGCTCTTCCTGGTTAGGGACAGGCATTCAAAAAGCCGGAGCCTGAATCGATTCAGTCTTTGTAGGTTATTCTAACCTGCAAAGCTTGAACTGATTTGGAGGTGGATAGACATTCCCTTTTCATTCCAGAAATACAGGCACATGCCTGCAGTGGCTCAGGCTAGAAGCCTTGGGGCACTAGAGCAGCCCTCCCTTCCCTTCCACCCTGCTGAGCTGGGGAGGAGGAAGGGGGTGTAGCCAGGCCCCAGAAGGACATTCTGATTAGGGAGGGGTATAAACCCCAACCCTGCCTGCATTCCCAGGATTTCCCTCCCGCTTGCTGCTCAAGGGGCGGGAGTGTTGCCAGACCCTATATTTGTTGGCGATACTGAGCTTTTCAGTTTCCTCTCCTTGCTTCTTCAGACTGTCTGCAAACCAGGTAATTTCTAACACCTTTCTCTGACCCCTCTTGAGAACTGACAGATTGCAACCAGCAGGTTGCTTGTCAGAAAAAAGTTCACCAGCCCATCAGGCCCTACAAAAGAAAACATCTCTCTCGTTGCTTTCAAGTTCTTCTTATCTGCAGGGTGCATTTACATTGGCAAGCCACTAGCTGTCTTCCCTTTGTTCCAGTGAAACTGGAGACCCACACAGATACCTCTCAGCAGTAGCAGGGAGGAAGGGAGGTGCATGGCCAGATGCCGGGTCCCTGTGCTTGGGTCCCTGCTGTGGGAGAGGGGCAGGAGGGGGAATCCCTGCTTAAGCAACCAGTGGGGTGGGAGGGGGGTAAGGGGAAGCTTGGCAGCTTCTGTAGTCCCTCAGCCAGCCAAAGCAATGATAGTGCTCTGGCTAGGAAGCAGAGGGGTGGGGCCAACCTTGTTCTGTTCTAGCAGATGCTTTGCAGTGCTGCGCTATCTGGGGTGCTGGGGGACTCTGGTTTAACTGAAACCAGGAAGGGGTTTGGGGCAGACATTGCATAAACCAGTTTAACCCATATCAGTTAAGTCTGATACTACATTCAACCAGGTTTATCTTAAAACAGTTTCAGCCATTTTTAAGCTGGTTTATGTGCACAGAACTTATGTTCTGTTACAGATTTAAACCAGTTTCTGATCACTTAAACTGGTTTGTGTGTAATGTCTGTTCCTCCTGGGCCTATGAGACAGATAATAGAGCAAAGCAAGAGATGTGAATAATGGAATAACGCAACCAGGGAAGGAAGGAAAAATTGCCTCTTTCTTACGGAAGCTGAACTAGGTTCCTACCATTTGCTGTCCTACAGATCATCCCAGATAGCACCATAGTGCATAGTGCACAGAATAGTGGTTTCTCTGAACCAGTGCCACATAGGGTGGCAATGGTTCAGAGAAAATCAGAGGCAAAGGATTTGGATCAGCATCTAGAGGCCACACTGGGATTGTCAGAGACTATAGCTCTGGAGACAGTAAAGGAAACATGAGCAGAGGTGGCAGACTCAGGAGGACATGGCAAAGGCAACAAACCCCTCTTTACAGAGGGCATGTTTGATTGGATTATCTGTCTTGAGCAGGGCTGATTTTGCTAGCTAAGGGGTTCCTCAAAGATAGTGTTACTGTTGATGTGAAGTGGAAAGAAGGTCACATGAGGATGAAACCATGCACTCACTAACCACCGCCCATAGCACAGGAGGCACCTCCACATCACATCTTCCCACTGTCACTGGACTCCTGCTGTGCACAACTACATTGGGAGTAAAAGCCAGGCATGGAGATCTAGTTAAATCTAAGAGTGATGGTTACACAAGAAGTGGCTACAAAATGGCCATGATTATTCCAGATGTGAAATCAGAAGGCTTTAAACCAGAGCCAGGAGGTTCTGCAACAACCTTTCAGTGGGAAAAGTGTGTAGAAAAAGGCCTATTACTTTCCCAAGGTGGAACATAATAAGTTTCTGAACGGGAATATATGGCACATGGTCTGCACTAGCAGGGAACTGGACTCAGTGATCCATTACATCCCATGTTCCTATGAGGATATAAGTTTCCTTCAATAAGCTGCATTGGACTTGAATGCATGCGTTATACACGAGGGCTGTTCAACTTTGCAGCAGCCAGGGGCCATACCCGTGTGGGTCACAGGCCTCCCAGGTCTCATGCTGTGTGGGCCCCTCACAGCATTACTGGCACCTTCCTACCATGGCATGCCACACAAGCATCCCTGGGTCCCTTCCATGAGCTTTAGATTCCTTGAGCCCCACCATACCATGCTTCAACCTCAAGGGCAGGGGCAAGAAATGCAAGTCAGAGGAAGAGCAGGGAGCCTATAGACCCCAGAGCCAGCAGCAGCAAGGGTGGAAGGAGTGAATTTGCACCTGGGCAGGAGCCACTAAGCCACAAATTGGTCAGCCCCATTATACATAGCTATCAGCTCACATATTGGAGCAGGCAGCCCTAGCAATCTGCTTGGAGCAGCTGATCTGACAGCAGTCACAACCACATTATTTCTCTGAGTGGAGGCCAGTCACAAAAAAGGCTGAACATCCTCTGGGATTATGACGTTCTGCCCCTTCTGCAAGCATTCTCTCTGCCTCCCAGAAGCCCTTTCAAAGTTCCCTGCAAATCAATACCTCAAGAAGCTATTCAGGGAGCAGTATACCAGTCAGTGGTGTGGAGTGCTGGTCTTCCCAGGAATCCTATGAACCCGGCTGACTTCCTGCCCTTTGGGCGGGGGGCTGGACTCGATCTTCCAAGGTCCCTTCCAGCCCTGATGTCTATGAAAGGCAGTCTGGACAGATGGCCAGTAACACCTCTGCTATAGCAGTAATTCTGTCAGTGAGGCTTCAGGACTGCAGAAGGGACCCAACCTAGGACTGAGTTCCTAGCATCTGATCTTGCAAACCTTTATTCATGAGACTGAAACCCTGTGTCTACATATTGCTAACTGTCCCACTATAACTATAAAGACATACTCAAATCCATCAGTGTAGAGGGAATGTTATACCCATGCAGCTTGCCCTAACTCACTGCTAATATACTTGCATCTGTTGTAAGAGTTCTCCATAAGGACTGGATAGGAGAATGGCAGCAGATGGGCCTTCAAGAAGATGTAGCATCATCGCTGCACTTGATAGTATTGATGAAGTTTGCTGTTGTGCACTGCAGCAGACTTCCTCCATGCAGCCCTTCATACTAGTGACAATTCTGGCACATGAGCAAGGTACTTCATTGGTCACATTTAAGAGCAGAAATGCGTGTTTAGGGCAGGGGTGGGCAAGATGCAGCCCACCAAGCCATTTAATCTGGCCTGCGGGGCCCCTAAAAAAATTTAGAAAGTTAATATTAGTGTGCCCTGGGCTACCTGTCATGTGGCCCTTGATGGCTTGCCAAAATTCAGTTTGGCCCTCCACCCAAAATAATTGCCTGCCCCTGGTTTAAGGTTTCCCCTAACTCAAGAGACATAGTTAATACCCAGTGGCTGCAAAGCCATTTTTTCAGAAGAATTGTTTCCGCTCTGGGATACTTCCTGGCTATTTCTGTCTGAAAAAAGCATGGCCATTTCCAAGTGCCTGTAGATACTTATGAAGAATTTCTTTCTTCTCAAGCACCACCATTGCAGTGAGGGCCAGGGACTCCCACTAGGAGAGCTGCTACATCACCAGTCCAAAGGCAGTGCTTAGCACTTTCTAGCTGAGCAGCTCTGAAACCGAGCCCTGGGAGAGACACAACACAGCAGTGACCCACCCACAAGCCTTTTTTTTTCCCCCCCTTTCCTTTCCAAGCCTTTAGAAAGAACTCAGCACCCTCTGGCCAACCATCAGGAAATACTCACCTTCACCTCAGACAGTTCAGACACTCCCCAGCACTACAAGCAAGTCCTACCCTCAGACAGCTCTCCTCCCCTAGGAAATACACAGCTGCTTCTTATCAAACTGAGCTGCTTCTCATTTGAATTCTTCCTCCAGTCCTGCTATGCCTTGCAGGTGTGATCAAGCGGGGCTGCTCAGGACTGCAGCAACTCCTTAACTCTTTTTGTCCGGTGCAGGGTTAGTAGCAGACCAACCCCATCACAGCACTTCCTTAAGACTGGGCTGTCTTTTCTGTGTAAAGATGACTCTTTTCCCTGGGTTCTGCTTTATGCCCCTAGGCTTCTTGTAGAGAGTCTGTAAGGACTGCAAATCTCTCTCAGGCTGGGGCCCAACACCAGATTTTGTGGCCTATAAAGTGGGTGCAACTAATTGAGAGGAGTCCACAGCTTCTGCTGGATCTTGCCTTCCCCCAAGCGAAGGCGTTGGAATTGCTGTCACCTGTCCTTTCCCAGAGCAATCACCTCCACCTGAGCAGCTGTCCCAGCAGACCAGAGGCAGTTGTTAAAGAAATATCTCTTAAAACATTTCTGTGATGGCAAATTGGATTTTTGAAGAAATAAAAGTTTGTCTTGGAAAGTGGAAATTTTCCTCTGAGTTCCCCCCCCACAGATAAATCCAAAACAGGGTGGAGGGAGATTTTTGTCCCTTGGCTTTTGCAATCTTGCAGCTTAATATTTTTCAGGTTTGGGGATTTTCAGTGTTTCAACAGATAAATAATATTTTCCATAGGGGAAAAAAAATACCACCAAGCCAAGTATGCCATCTGTAGTTCCCCAATTCTGGAGGAGAACATCATTGCTCATGAGCTTTTCCCCTGCAAAAATAAAAGTAAAACCAGTGTCTGTAAATTTAAACTGTAGACTTTGCCAACACTGGAAAGTCCTGAGGGTCCAAAATGACATCATTCTGCCTCACACCGAACAAGGTTCAATCCCTGGTTGGACCAGATGATCTCTTGAGGTCCCTTCCCACCTTAGTTCTCTATGACAAAGTCCATTTTAATGTTTCATAGTTTCAATGTTGCAGAGGACTAGGACAAAAAAGCCGTGATGATGTAAACCACAACCCTAGAAAGACTCCCACCCTCATTTGTGGGGGAATTTGTGTTGAACAAAAACCTGAGCAAGGATAAATGAGACAACAAGCCATTCTACAATGTCATTGGCCTGCCTGGGCGTTGATGTGCTGGCACTAAAATGCAAGTTCAAGAATTCAGGGGCTTTCCCAACAGCTGTTATCAATCCAGCCAAGTTATTTTAATTGCACACAAACTGACATCTATTTTGCAACAAGCCATCTGGGCAGTAATAAGCAGAGGGCATGGATACTCGGCTGAAGAATGGCAAATGCCTCTGAAGAACTTTGCATCCTCCTGTCCTCAGCAACATTGTAAACCTCAGCCACAGATGAATGGGTGTGAGGCAGACTGCTCCATCTAGAGGGCAACACAGCCAGAGAACAGCAGCAAGGCCTAAGATTATGTTGTATTCCTTGAGTGATTCTAGATTCCTGTTATTAATATTTGTAGAGTAGATGCTCCCCACACACACTGGAAGACCTATCCCAGCCCAGCAGAGGTCACAGTCAGCATTGAAAAGCCCGTCAAACTAGTTATTATGCCCCAAACTTTGTCTTTTGGGGAATGCTACATTTGAGGGGAAAGGACATTTCAAAACATCAAAACCATTCCTGCATTTGGATCAAATCCAGTGGAGAATTTTAACTGAAAAGGGGGGAAAAGTAGTAAAAAACGTAACCTTTTTTGACATGTTCAAAATGAAATATTATGATTTTTCATTCCAAACTGGAAGTTTCATTTAAACTTTCAGTTTTGTTTTCCTTCTTTAAACAAAGAAGAAAAAAAGGATTAAATAGCTCAACAATTAAAGAAACATTTTGTCTCTGGTCAAACAAAATGGCTGAGTTGTTCTGAAATACAACATGGTTTATCTGGGAAGTTTTCCCCCTCCTTTTTATTTAAAAAAAATGGTTTGAGGTTGACTCAGAATAATTCTTTTCCTCTTTTTTTAGTTCAGGCAGAAGAGATTAAACCCCACAAAAATTCAGTGGCTTGTCCACAGTCACAGAGATCTGTGACAGTCAGGAGTGAACCCAGCCCACTGAGCCCAGGTCACACAACCTCCTTTCTTTCTGTGTAACTGTTCCTCCACCTAGGGCATAGCTATTGGGCCTCCCAGCCAAATTTGGGGATACCATCAAGCCCTGTGATTTGTTCCTTCCCCATGGGCAGTCCCAGCCATTAGGCACAGTAGACAAAGAGGATGGGTCCGCCACCTCCTTCCTCCGAAGCATACTCTTAGCATCGATCTCACAGTGTGGCTTTTCCCTTTCTATGGCATCAGGAAGTTTGTGCACTTTCCAGAGAGAACTGGACTGCAACAGAGCTAAGGTGGAACTGAGCTGTCGAGGTGAGTGATGCTCAACCTGCAGCCCACGGGTTGGATCCAGCCCCACAGAAATCACTGGATCTGGCCTGCGCCATGGGGGATCAGCAGCAAGTTGCTCAGGTCAATGCATCCCCTTTCCTGTCCTGTGCAGTGCTGATGATCTTCTCCTCTGCCCTCCCTTCCTTGGCTCTTCCTCTCTCTTAACATTTGCAGCTATCTCTTTCCCCCCTCTCTCCCTTCCCAGAATGGAGTAGTGGCCCACAGTGCAGCTGGGTTACAAACACCTGGCCTGGTGTTTTAAAAGGCTGAGCTCCACTGATCTAGGTCTGTTTGAGATCCCTTTTGAGCAGAAGATTGGCCCTAGGTGCTAGGGCATCTCTCCAGACCCAAATGGAAGTTCCCTGTGAGGAATCCAAGTATCTCAGCGGTGTTCTGGCCTCTGTACAGGGTGGATAGGATCACACTTAGTGATTTGAAGGCCTTATAGCCATAAAAGTGCAGCTTAGAGAGCGAAAAGACTCTGAGGCTCATGAGGCTGCAAACCTAGCTGACAGTTTTCCAAATGAATTAACAGAACTAGTGCTTAGCCTTGCCCAGCAGTAGTAACTTGGATTTGTTTTATAGGGAAATTAATAGGGCTGTGCGAAGCTTCAGTCCCTGATTCAATTTGGCAGAGATTTGGCCCAATTTGGTGGCCAAATTCCTGAAGCCGAATCGAATCAGAGGACCCCTTAATCTCTGCAAATCGAATGGGACCCCTCCGAATCGATTCAGAAAGATTCAGAGATTTGGACATAGACACAGCTTTAAATGTTTTTTCTACATACCTCTAGGTAGCAGGGGCTCGTGAGTGCTGCAATACTGGGGTGCATGGAGTGTCCCACAGAAATGCAGGGGGCTCCCCAGCACGCTCAGCAGCAGGCCCAGAAGTGGACCAGAAGCACTTCCAGTCCACTTCTGGGTCCACCGGGGAGTGCGCAGGGGGGCCCCACAGCACCCCTCCCCCCCGACTGGAACCTCCTGGGTTGGGGGGGCAACCAGGGCCAATCACCGAGCCAGGGGGTTGCAGGGGGGCGGCCCCTGGCGCACTTCCTGGTGGACCCGGAAGTGTACCTGAAGTACTTAGGATCCACTTCCCAGTTCCCCACCAAGCACGTGGAGGGCCCCCCGCACTCCTGTGGGATGCGCCATCTGCCCCAGCATCGCAGGATTCACAAGCCGTGCTGGTACCTTGAGGTATGTAGAAAAAACATTTAAAGGTGTGTCTGTGTCCGAATCGCTGATTCTCTGAATCAGCATCGAATCTTCAGATTTGGATTCGGCTGAATCAAATCAGGGACAGTGATCCGAATCAATGAATCGAATCGCTGTTCCTGATTTGGGCTGAATCTGAATCAAATAGGGCCCACTTCTCACACTCCTAGAAATTAACTACTCCATCATTAATTGCCAGTTACATGCCTGGGGGACAGGAGCTTGCAACAGAGGTTTTTGAAAGCACAAGACTGTGGGCACATCTACACACACACATTTACTGTGCAGTAACCAAAATTACTGCGCAGTTTGGGCATGTGTCTACAGCCTTACTTGAGTATGTCTACCCCAACTTGAGCATAAATTTGATACCTGCATCATGCAGGTATCAAATTTACACCCAATTAGTTACTGCGCAGTAATGCACAGGTAGATGCCTTACTGTGCAGTAACACTGTGTGTGTGGACTGACTTGAGACTAACTTTACTTCCAAGTCAGTCCACACACAGCATTAATGCGCTTTAATGCCTGCACGTGTAGACACTGACCTATTCCCACTTACTGCGCAGTAATTTACTGCGCAGTAAATTTAAACCAGCATAAAAGCATGTGTAGACACACCTATATGTTTCTGCCCACCACCTGTTTGCTGCTAGCCAGGACTAGAGCAGGAAGAACACTTCACTGAAAAAATTTATCTTGTCTTACACTTAGACCAGGGGTGTCAAACATAGGGAGCCCTGGCATCCGGCCCCTGGTGCTGCCCCTGGGTTTGACCACACCCACATGGGGCACAGCACACACTTGTGACAGATCCTGGAGCTGCTGGGACAGCTACTGTATACAGCAGAGTCTGGCCTGGTCACTCACTATGTGAGGTTCAGGGCCAGATGAGTTTGACACCTCTGACTTAGACAGTAAGCTCTTGCCTTCTTGTTCTTTCTCTGTCCAGCACTCAATGCCCTAGTCAATGACTGTTATAATCATCGCAACACGAAACAAACAATAAGTAATAATAATGTTCACCTTTGTTCTGTTTGCAACAGGTTTTGATTGCTTCCAGCTTGCCCCCATAACAGTGCACCAGTGGCAGGAGTCCATATTTGTATGGCTGTTCATGACCCTTTCTGCCAACAAAACGAGCCTGCCTGAATAGTGGCAGAAAGCAAGCAAGAGGGATTGCCAGGCTGCAGGCAGACAAACAAGGGTTAGTGCTACTGATATTTTCTACTGCTGCAGTGCCCAAGCCCCCTAGGACAGGGATTAGGGCCCCACCACAATAGATCCAAGCAACACAACAGGCCCTGCCTACAGAGCTCACAATCGGGAGCCAGGACAGCTGCTAACCACCAAACAAACTGACAACCAGCAGGAGGGAAAGGATAAGGCAACCACAGGAGAAAGGGATATTTGCATTGGTAAGCACAGATAAGCACCAGCCTCTGTTACAGAGATTTTTCTTTTTTTGGCAGCTTTGTCCAATCCCTACTCAGCACTGCAGTTACATCTGAGAGCTCAGCTTCAAGGGTCTGGGGCTGCTGAAAGCTGACACTGTGAAACAGAAGATGGTCTGGAAACCTCGGTCTACCGTGGTGACTTTTAGGCTATTACATCATCCGCTATTTCCATTTTTGCCTCCTTATTGTTGCATCTAATTCTGAAATCTGTTTAGCACCATAAAGCTGGAGTGTACTAACTGCATCCTCTCCTGCCAGGCCCTCTCTACCTCTTGCTTCCAGCCCCACTAGATGGCACCAACTGTGCATCTTTTCTGCTGCTTTTTCTTAGTCCCAGCCTACCACTGGAGGCAGCTTTTAAACACAAACAGCACAAACAAGTGTCTTTATCACCATTTCTAAGCATAACAGTCTTTCCTGTTCTTTTCTACTTCAAGAACCTACATTAAAATGATAACCTGGCACCAGAGCTCACCTCACTTTCCTGTCCTTCCTCATTTGGCCATAATCATCAGATGTTTCGAAGAGTGGCTGACATGACTAACCCCTGTAAAAGTGCCTTAAAATGAAGGATTTGGCATCCTCAACATGCTTAAGCGTTATCAAGGCAAGAGCAAGTCATCCAGTATGGCTGTCAACTGTCTGGTCTGCCCTTTAGAAGACCTCCTTTGCAGAAGATGGATGGCAGGGCTGGGAATCCCAGTTTTTGGCTGTAACCTGACCTGCAAAGAAACAGCTGAGGGCCACAGGCTGAAAATGTTTCCATACACAGGGTAGTCTGGCCAGTACCAGGACTGGCCAATGTCCAGATGTTTAAATTACCAAGCTTCCTGAACCTCATTTTAAAAAACATACATAGAAACCTTTGATCTAAAGCAGTGGTTCTCAGCCTTTTTAGGCTCAAGGCACCTTTTGGAAAATGCCAGCTCTAAGTTTTCACTCATATTTGACTACAGAAAAATAACACAGCAATTCTTCTGTTGCAAAGAACCCAGAAAGGCCACAATAGGGCAGATTTGTTTTAACACTGTGGATTCCTATTTGAAAGCTTTGGGTTTATCTTGTGAATCGCATGTAGGTGTTTGCACACCTAACAGTGCTCACACTGCATGGCACTCTGACACACTCTTAAAAGAAGCTCATGGCATCCCAGGGTGCTACAGCACCCTTGTTGAAAATCATTGATTTAAAGCATTATGTTTGGCAAGTGAATTTTTCTCTGTGGGTCCATTTGCTTTGGTTATTTATTGCCCTCCATGAATGTCCTCTGGCTGATTAAAAATCAAAGGTGCCTTCCCCCCACACTTCCTTTGGAGTCTCCTTCCAGTAGCTTTCACCACTAAATCCTTCTTCCCATAATATCATATTGCCTTGGCAAAGCTACCTCATACAGCCATAATGCAGATATAGCATCTCACTGCGCATTAACTGAGAGATGCAGGATAATACTTGCAGCATTATTCAAGGGTGTTAATTTTTATGGAATCACTCCTCTCTTGGGAAGCAGAGAATCTTTTAAGATGGCCATTATAAATCAGGTCATTACTCATGGGGTCAGATGTCTTCTTTAAGTACAATGTTCAGTATTATGCTTCCTATATGCTCTGTATCACTGTCCCAAGATGCCTTTGCTAATTCAGCACAGCTGAGCACCCACACATCTCAGTTTAGGCTCTCAGCAGACTCCCAGCTGAGATATTCTGTGGAAAGCAATGCCATACCTAGACTCCCAGTGGCTCCAGGCGAACTTTTAGTATTGGGTCCCCCTTCACCAGACATAATGATAATAATAATTGGACTTGTTGTAGAAGTCTTTATCACATCTGTGGTAGTGATGTCTTTAAATAGTTCATTCTCAGTTGATAACACTGCCAGTCCTGTATACGTGCAATATTAAAACTTTTTTTTTTTTTGCAATTGTAATTTTTTTCATTTTCATTTTCAGGCCCCACCCGACCCATTTGTAACATTGATGGCTACCATGCATTAGGCCACCAAGTTTACCCAAGCCTGTGTCTGGGTCTGCTGGAAAGGTTAAAACAGTGACTGGTCCAAAGCACCAAATTCAGAGCTCACTTTTAAAGAGCCCTAGGGTCCCCTCACTCTGCCTGTGGAAAGGCCCTCCCTGCTCCAGGCAGAGAAAGCAGGTAGCTGATAACAGCCACTTAAAAAAAGGGGCACCTGTTAACTGAACGAGTCCTTCCAAGCTAATCCCACCAGCCTTTCGCAGAGCCCTCTAATGCTTCCCTCAGTAGTCCCGAATAGAAGTCCTATCCCAGTCATGCTGGGTTTGTGTTTTTATTATTTTGCTCCTTGTTGAATTAGGGTCCTCTCCATGGAAGCTAAGGGCATGTGATTTGCCTAAATGACATACAGGAGTTTGAGAAATCAGTATCCTTGGAGGAGCAGAGCAGATGCACAGCTGTGCTGACTCTGTGACCATGGTCTACCTCTGCTTCTTGGTTGGGAGCCAGTTCCTCAGCATAGTTCACTGATCATGTCCCTTGCCTGACCTGCCCCAGAGCCCCTGCCATCTGCCACAGAAAGGTGCTGGGAGACCCTGTGAGGGGTGCTTAGTCCTCTCTTTTGTGACCCCTGCCAGAGTCTTTCACAACAAGGGGCTGGGGCAAGAGGCAGAGGGCCTTGTTCTTAGCTCCCGGAGTGACTTCAGCAAACATATCTCCGCTTTACTGGAGCAATGCTCCACCTCCCACAAAACTCCCAGGCCTGTGCTCTAGTTCAAAAACCAGCCATCAATGAGATCGCTTCAGAGATGTTGTTAGAGCCTCCAGACAAACAGCATCCCCAAGCTGTACTGGCAACATGGAGGAAAAATTATCTTGCATTGAACGTGGATCCCACTTGGCACAAATCACCAGAGGAAATGGGCAGAAAAGGTCTCCCAGAAAGGCCAAAGGATTAACCCTTTCCAGAACCCTGCCAGCCAGCACATCATCTCCTTTGGAAGGTCTGCTCCTGGGCTCCTGATATAAAAGCAGTCAGAGCAGGACCTCTATGCCTGTCCCTTGGAGGGCTTGAGCATCCTCCATTCTCACTGACTGATGGAAATTGTGGACAGATTCTGCCCTCCAGGATGTCAGCATTGTACAGGAGAGCACAGACAACCCAGCATCCGTCTCCCTGGTATAGATCCTATAGCAGGCCTTAGTGCCGGAGGAATATTATGGGGACACTGGAAGAGAGCCCTCCCTGGGGGCACCTCAGGAGTGGGGAGCACTCAGAGATTTGGAGCTGCTGTAGACTGCAGAGGAGTGCAGACGCAGCCTTCGGGATGAAGGTAGAAAGTAGGGCAGCTCATAGATGCTCTAATTTAGCTGTAAATTGGAGCAAATCCTGACTGCTTGAGAATCTATGCTGAAGGCTGTACTGCTTCCCCCAAGACCAGAAACAAGATATTCAAAAAGGAGACTTAAGGCCATCTTTGTCCCTATCATCCACAAACTGTCACAAACTGCCACAAGATCCTCCCTGAGGACCTGAACCATGTCACAGGACCATGGCTACAAAGCTGAGCATCAGGATCCGTGGGCAAAATAGGTCAGAGATTCACTACTGAGCTCTAGCGTAAAAACCTCAGCTAATAAGTCTAATAGTGTGTGTGTGGGGCGGGGGGGGTCAGTTATTTAAGATTTTATTAGACTTCTTTATGGATGCATTGCAGGTGCAAGGAAGGGAGATTTACAATGAAGAAATATTATTTAAAACAAATCTCTCATGTACACATATACAGCACAGAACATAATGCATACACATACACAGAAAGAACAGACTGACACAACTGTACATGTCGGTGCTCACTGGCAGCTGTGAAATGGTTATTGCTTTCATCCATTTTAAGTTAAAGAGTCAGTTACAGGACTTTATATGTTCTTGACGGTTTCCAATTTTTAGTTTTTTGGTAAGCCTAAAGCCCTTTGTTGAGTGTGAATGTCAAATGGAAGAGCTGTATCCCATGATCAGTCATTTGAAAAAGACCTTTCTAGTACTGTGGAAGTATTTTTAGGCACTGTGATCCAGTTGTTTGCGGGGGCGGGGGGGCGGAGTGGGGGGTTGTGTGTTTTCATCTATTTGTTCTGTAATGCTTGTTGATCAAAACACCAGTCAACATAATACTGCCTTCCAGAGCCTGTGCACATAACCTATTCCCCTCCCCTGGAAATAAATGCACAGATAGGTAGCGCAGAAGGATGAATACTATGATCTACTTAATATGACCAGCAAAGTGCAGAGTTCAGCCTTGCATATTTTGACAAGTGCCTGCACTCCTTCACATGTGAGGCTGGATGACAGCCACCAGACCCATTTGTAACACTGATGGCTACCATGCATTAGGGTTAATTTACTACAGGGTAAAAGCAGTAGCTGACATGCTGTAAATCCCTGCCCTTGTTTCTGTGTGCCTGCCTTTACTGTATGAGCAGGCCTAGCTAGGTACCTTTCCTCATGGGGTATTACTGTTCCCTGTAGACAAGGACTGCAGCATCTGGCCTTTCAAAGCCAATCTGTTGCCACTATGGACCTCCAAAGATCACAGCTGGTTTAATTTCAAATTATGACACCCGTAATGTTGTTCTGATGCAGGAAGCTTTTAGCCCAGACACCCGCGAGAGTAGCTTGGTCACAAGTTATTCAACTCCTCAGAAAAGAACAACCTTGCCTCTCTTGCACCAACCCTGGCAAACCATAAGCATCACAGAAGCCATAGAAAACAGGAGAGTGAAACCACGCTTGAGGAAGCTGATGCTAATGAGGAATGACTGCCTAGAAGAGCTGCAGTGTCTGATGTAGCAGTTCTTTTCTGCACTGCTAATTTGTTTACCCTGGGAGAGATGAGCAGAATGGTAATGACCTAGATTAATACAACAGCAAACAAGGCCTTGAACCATGGCCAGCTCTAGCCCTTACATGGGTTTAAAAAAAAAAAAAAAAAAAAAAGGGCTAGTGTTTTCCCGACTGATGCTTCCTGGCTATTATTCACGTCTGAAAACACTCTACACCCAGGCCAAAGAGTTGGAGGAAACAGATGGTTCCGCTGTCCACTTCACAGGACATCACCGTAGCAAAAAAAATGCCCCTGTAGATTTCTACAGAAGAGGGAAATCTGAGGTAAACCGAACGATGTGGATGGAAGGCAAAGCTCGGCTCTGGTGCTAGTTATAAAATTAATATAATAATATTATACAGTTTATACATAAATCAGTGCAGTGGGGCCGGCGACGATGGATGGAGGCAGGTTATAAGCAATCAGCACAGCTTTCAGTGAAGCACCTGAATGGACCATCAGACCCCTGCTTCCACTCTAGGGTGCACACAGTCTGAACGGCAGTGGGAGTGCCAGGTCTCTGCTGCACAAGGGGGCTGACTGCAGTCATGGACAGACAGGGCTCTTCCACTTCTTAGTGCTACAGAGCAGAGCCACATAATGCCTTGCCCCCACCCCTACAGGACCATGGGGGAGCCCTGAGGGAATAGCAGGGGCCTGGCTACCAGACCGACATACAGCATAAATTCAACCACACACACACAAGTGGTGCCCCAAGTTCCTCTCCACCTCTAGGAATAGCAGCCGTGGCCCAGGAACCTAAGTGCAGTTTCGTCCCCAATAACCTACGTGCATTTCTATTTTTCCATTTGGCTTCACTGGAGAACCAAGGTCTAGACCTATGGGAGTTTTCATGCAAAATCATGGCAGTTCTGGACCTCCTTCATGGTTGCTTCCAGCAGATGGATGCTTGTTCCATTCATAGCAGCTTGCATGTCATTGTGATCACGGTGGTCCCTGAGCCCTCTTGACACAGGCACATTTCATATTCAACCTGAATGAAAGAAAAAAAAACTGTATGTAAAAAAAAAAAAAGAATGTGTGCGCAAATCTCCCAGCACAGGGCAGGGAGTTAGACAGCAAAGCACACAGCATGGCTGGGAACTGAGGGATGAAATACACCAACATTTCTTTCTTTCCAAAAAAATAGGAGATACTCCACTCTGTGACTGTTGTGCCAGATGACTGGACTCCTTAGCACTAGTAGCTAGCTCCTGTCCTAGCAGATCTTTTTACTGCTGGCAACACTTGGAACAGTGTTTCTCAAGCTTTTGGGGGGTGCATGCCCTTTATAAATCTATTATACTGCTGTGTACCCTTAGGAGTCCAGGTTTTACATATTTAAAAAAATAACACTTTGTCTCTGTCACCTCTCCAGCAATCTGAGAGGCATTGTACAGCTGTTCGTCATTTGCAGTTTTTCTTCCTTTTCCTCCATTTGTATTTCCCATTTCCCATTCCTTCCCCTCATGTCCCCTCTTGAGATATGCCACATACCCCAGTGGTACACATACCCCGGGTTGAGAATACCAATTAAAGGAACCAACAGGAACATATTCAAGAAGACCTAAGGGTCACGCCAAAAGGGTGCTGAGGCACGTAACTCCTGTTTTGCTGCCCAACTCACTATTGAAATAACTTATGGACTCAAGAGCCTATGGGCGCACCTCCAATGCAAATGAAGTTGTGACCAGAGCATGGTAATGTGTACCCACACAAGTTTTAAGTTCATTTACTTGGATCACACTTGCAGTGGAAATTGCCATGACGTGGGTTTTAGCACGGGCTAGTGATGCCAGGAAATAGCCAGGGTTCCTGGCAGGCTTGCACACTGGTTGCTAGCCCACACCAGAGCCAGGATCACCATATCTTCAATATTAATATTACCCAAGATAGCAGGATGAACACTACCATGGTTATATCTGCCTCTGCTGCAGTTACACTTCCACTGCAGTACAGACACAGCCTAGAATGTGCATGGGACTATACCTCCTATGTGTCTTTTGAAAATAGGACCCAACTCAAGTGCTTTTGAAAATGTTACCCAACATCTCTGTTTCAAGGGAAATTTGGTGTAATGTGTACTTGTATTTAAAGGAGGTTAGAAAGGTTGGGGGCTGGATGCAGTGGGAGTTAGTCAGTTCATTATACTGAAATCAGTTTCTAATAACTTGGGGAAATGTCATTGCTTATTAATTGCTCCTGAAATTGTTTCATCTCCTTTCTAGCAGCCTAACCTACTGCATGCCCGTGCCTGGAGGCCCCAGGTCAGAGCTTGGTGTAACTCACCCAATATCTGAAACTATAAATAAAGGGTGACACTTAGGAGAGGCAGTGGGCTTGGAAGGGGACACTGCCTTTTCACTTGAGAAGCTCTATATATTTCATTTAGCCAAGAGAAGAGGTTACCTGACAACTATATGTAAATGCCAACCTGGGAAGAAGGTTGGTGACAGGAGAGGGCTCTGGCCTGCCAGACAAAGATAAGGCAAGAGCCAGCGGCTGGAAGCTAAAGCCAGACAAATTCAGGCTAAACTAAAGCACAGATTATAGCCAGGGAGTCTCCGATGATGGCAGTCTAAAGCCCAACCTGGATATCTGTCTAAAACTCAACCAGAAATCACGGCAGTTGTGAAATTTTGTGTGATAGGAAGCAATTCAAATTACCTTGCTTCCTAATGGCCTCAAAAATCTATGAATTCTTCTGAAAAAACCTGGAGGACCACATGGAAACAGACAAAGTCTTCTGCTTAAAAAAGAGGACTCATGCTTCTAAATAGCAGTAGCTAGAGTATATGAACACGCCAACACTAGGAGTCCCCAGGTACTAGGTTTTGGGTCTTGTCAGCAATGGATGCCCAGCTGTGCTATCTGTATAGATTGTATAGGGACTGCAACAGATGTTACATTTGAACCAGGATAAACCATTTCCAGCAGGAAATGCCAGGACAAAATGTAATCATTCGATGTCTGTTTCCATTGCCCCAACGTAAATTCTAAGAAAGGTTCACAGGATAAGAAATGATTAACAGTTTATCCTGGGATATCACAGAGTGCATGTGAACCATTGTCCTGGGATTGCAGAAAAGCTGTAGTGCATTCAGCCCACTCACTAAACCTTCCTTAAAAGGGTTTGGACACTGGAGTTTGGGGTTCAAGTTTGGACACTGTTGAACATGTGAATCCCTGGATACTTCTATTCCAGGACAAACACACACAGAATTTGTCCCTAGACAAGTTGTATGGCTGTTCCTAGACTTAGAGACACTTGAAGACACACAAATGGAAAGCACTGTGGGAAAGCAAAGTATTAATAATGCTGATTTGTGGTGAAAATCACTGTAGTCCTACCTTGCTATAAATGCATAGGCCCACACTCACCTGTCCTAACTGCAGAAGCAGCAGCAGCATCCACATTTCCAAGCCACTTGTCTTATGTTTTCAGAAAGCAAGTTGCCTCTGCTCTTGGCAACCACGTGTTCACAAACCATGTTCAATAGTTTATTTCTATCTTCTTGACTGAGAGTGCCTTCCATGTCCAAAATGGTGGTCAGATGTTCTTTCCTTTCCAACAGAACAGGAAGTCAATCAGAAAAAAAAAACTTCAGACAAATATGTTTACTTAATAAGACTTGTTTAGGCTGGGTCAGAACTGAGTTTGGACACTTCTAACTTTCCATTTCTAATAAATGTTTTTCTAATACAGTTGGCCACCCAACAAAGAGGAGGCCAAAGCTGTATTATCACATTCAGATCTAGCCTTACCAAAACTGGGTCCTGGCTCACTGCGTGTGTTACCCAACAATACATGAAAAGCTCCAGGACTCACAACTCCACTAAGAGCAAGGCTGATCTATTTGTTTAGCAGGCTGTTTTGGGGCTGATTCTACACATTGTGTTTCGAACATATTCTTGAGAGACTAGTTGGGGGGCAGACTATTTGCCAACTGACAGACTGGCTTTTTCCTCTCTGCTCATCTGAGTGGGACCATTACCTATCGCTCGACTTAATGATATCAGAATATCAGATGTGATGTAAGCAAATACAATGCTATTGAAGTCAATGACAATGCATCCACCTGCACCAACTGTCCAAGCTTGGCCCTAGGAGACTAAATGCAGAATGCACACAGAAAGAAAAAAATCCATGCAATTCAACTTGGAAAAATAAACTTGCCAAAATAGGAGCTCAGTAACATGATGGGTGGGGTCAAGGGAATTATTTTGACCAATACAAATTAGCAACAAACTCATTTTTATTTAATAAAAGTCAAGTTTAGGTTAGACTAGATATAAGGAAAAACTCTCTCACGAGGAGGGTAGTAAAGCACTGGAATGGGTTCCTAGAGAGGTTGTCCTTGGAAGCTTTTAAGACCTGGCTAGACAAAGCCTTGGCTAGGATGATATAGTTGGGGATGGTTCTGCTTTGAGCAGGGGGTTGGACTAGACGACCGTCTGAGGTCCCTTCCAACCCTCATTTTCTATGATTCTTTCGTTATATTCTCCTCTAGGCTTCCTGTGCAAAATGGAAACATGGGCACATTGCCGACTGCCTCCTGGAGAGTATTTACTTAATGACACACAAGAGAACTGCATAAAAAGTATATTCAAGATACAAAGCCATGTATCTAAATGTTAAGAAAAGCCTGAACTTTTGATGTTTGTGCAGCCTGACTGGCTGTCCTATACATGTGCATTATGACACAATTTTTATATGATGAGACAACATTTAATTTTTTTCACGTATGATCCCCGTCCCATTCTGTGCATAGGATGGGAAATTCCAACTCCAGGGGTCACGATGTCTTGCTGAAAGCAAGGGATAAACATAGAAAGTGTCAAGCATCCTCAGCCACAGGCATTGCTACTAGGGCTGTGCGAAACAGGCCCTATTCAATTGGGATTCGGATTCAGCCTGAATCAGGGACAGTGATTCGAGCCGTCGATTTAGATCACTGTCCTGATTCGATTTGGCTGAATCCAAATCTGAAGATTCAATGCTGATTCGGTGAATCAGCGATCCAGACACAGCTTTAAAAGTTTTTTTCTACGTACCTCAAGGTAGCAGTGCGGCTCATGATTGCTGCGATGCTGGGGCACATGGAGCATCCCACAGCAGTGTGGGGGCTCTCCAGCATGCTTGGTAGTACTTCTGGTCCACTTCCGGGTCTGCTGGGGAGCACGCTGGGCCCCCCCCCCATGCCCCCCGGCTTGGCG